GAGCCGCACCGGGGTGCACGAGGCCTGTGTACAGCCAGCAGGTGTTAGTGAGTAACAAGCTTCCTCAGCAGATTCCTGGGCGCCCTGGCTGGGAGGGATGTGGTGCAGGGGTCACCTGGCTCACAATGGCACGTGAGGAAGGTCACGTCTGCTTTTCAGAGTTCGGATGCTGCCTCTCCACAAATTTTGGTAACTGTTTCACAGTGTTTTTGGCAAACTCATTATTTCAAATGGTGGGTCTGGTAAGTAGAAAGGGGCCGTGTACAGAATCCATTTGGACAGTAAGTGAAGACATGACAAGAACACCTCTCAAACACCTCTCAGGGGTCACAAGGACACGGGCTGTTTCAGAGGGTGCAGGCCTGGGGATGAGATGACCAAAGGAACACAGAGGGGCAGTGTCCGGACAGTGCCCACAGGGTCCAGGCAGGCTCCAGTCCTGGAGGATATACTTCCAAAGTTTACTCACAGTCAGAAGAATGACTTCCCACATAAACTACCCTAAACACTCAGTACCTGAAAAGAGCAAGGGCCCCCAACACGGGTGAGGCCACCAGCTATCCAGAACAGCTCTCTGGACTCCACCGGCGCTGTGCCAGGCCTGTGACCACACTGCCTGGTGCCCGGCTCCCGGCACCCGCCAGCTCTGGACATGGCAGTGGTGGGGGCCGCTGGTGGGGAGGGGCCGTCAGAGAGCAGAACAGAAAGGCCACACCAGCCAGCAAGCTTCGGGCAGCGAGGCCGCGGAGAGAGGGCTCAGTGTCCGCGCCAAGAAAGCCATCAGTGCGGCTTTGGGTTTTAAACACGTGTCTTGGGAAACATCAACGTCTTTCCCGTTGTTCCAGCCTCTTAATTTAGAACCATAAAAACATCATTTGAAATATTTGTTTTTAATACATTATATGAAAGACAGCTTTTCTTTCCTTTTTGCTCTTTTCATCATCCCATAAATGTATTTGATGCTTCAGGCAATTAAAAATATTGTTATGTTAGAATAAACAAAACAAAATCACATGCAGTGTCGGGGGCATCTTGAGTTTAAACTCAGCTCAGTATTTAAAGCAGCAGAGAGTGCCAGGGCGGATACTCCACCGGCGTGAAAAGAAACCGTGTGGTACTTCCGACAACAAGGGGGAAGGTGGGGGCCACCAGGGCAGGGGATTCCCAGACTAGTCCCTGAAAGAGGAGGGACACACTGAAATAACAGCCTACAAAGACTTAATCCCGAAGCAGACTCAGCAAAGTATAGAAAACAGAAGTTCTCTCCAAAGTCCAAATCCTCCTTGTGCACATGAAGCACAACAGACTCGCCCCCTCCTCACAAGTGCTACGGCTCCTGTTTGAGGCTGGTCCTGCCCGAGGTGCCCAGTGCTGGTCCTGGCCACAAGGGCTGAGAGCACTCTGTTCCGACAAGGGTAAGGGATTCAAGAAACCAAGCGGTCAAGAACAAACAGCGATGTTTAAAATAAAGGCACAGGCTGAGGCAAGGAGAAGAATTTAGTGCTTTTAAAGCTCGAACCTTAAAGATAATAGATCAAACATTATACTCAAAACAAAGGCTATTTAAAAATTCAGGTTCCTAAGAGTTTGTGCCTCTAAGTAGGTCTTAGGTGCAAACATATCTAGTGTGCTTGCACAGAGCAATGGAGCAAAACGAACTGCGATGGACTGCAGAAAAGTAAAAAAGATAAATAAAATAAACATCCCAAACACATGCCAACAAGAGTGGACTCCACCAAACAAACCGACTTGAGACGGTTGTTTGTGCGGCTGTTATAAGGGTCCGTTTAGGTGCCAAGAGCGGCCATCAGTGCAAAAGTTCCCTCGTGGCACATGGAGACAGGAACAAGAACAACGAGGCCAAAGCTTGGACATGGTTCCTCTCCCAGGCCCGTCCCTCCTGGGCTTCCGGCAAAGAACTGTACCTGGGAAGTACACTTCAAGTTCTGCGGACCAAACGCTCCTTAGAAGACTTTCTCTGCACACTCATTGCATTTCCCTTCAAAGTTTTCTCATCAATTAATGAATTAATTCTAACAGCCAACTACTCATGAATAAGCTGCTGGTCTATTTAAAAACTGAATTTGTCTGCCTAAGATCAAGATTTTTATGTTTGTGACATGCAGTTGGTTTGCTTTTCCAAGAAAATTCCTGGTGAAAATATGTGCACTACGGCAGAAAAGAATAAATGTGTGTAATGATAACATTGCTGTCTAGTCAAAACCAGGCTAGCCCACGTGGCCCTCTGCAAACCTAGCCTCCTATATAAGTCCAAAGGGGTCACCAAATTCAGAATGAACAAGGGGAAACTGGCCGAGTCAGAGACAGCACTTCAAAAATGCATCAGAAGTCTTGGTAATAAGAATGGAATTACCCGTTTAAGGGAGCTCTGAGAAGAACACAGGAGACAGACTGTCAAAGCCTGTCTGCTAAACCACCTGCTGAGAAGAAAATATCCCAACTGCGTTTCCCTTTTCCCAAACAGATCATTAAGTGAAGGTCAAGGTGCCCTCCTCACTTTATTTCAGGATCACATGTGACTCCTAAGCTGTTCGTACACATGAGAAGGGCAGTGACTCACAGTTTATGTAAGAAGAGGGTCCTCTGTCTGCAGTCAGCTTCTATTAAAACCGTATTTCATAAGCAGTCAACCAACCAGCCAATGAATCCACGTACGTTTCTCTGGGAAACTGTCCAAAATTGAAGTCACATAAAAGAGTGCACTTGGGCTTTACCAAATTAAGGTTTTTTGTATCAAATGTAACAAAACAGCAACCTTGAAATACAAAAAGAGCCCCTGGCCCTTCTTGCTCCTGCACACACATGATTATTACTCCCACATCCAGAGGTAGAATTCATGCTTTCTTTACAGTTGCTTTAACGAAAACACCTGGCAGGAGAGCCTCCCTGGACCAGGCCGGGCAGAACCGTCCACAGCACAGAACAGTGATTGGATCTGCTGCTGGGACGGAAGCGGATTGATAACACAACAGCCCATGAGACTGTATCGGCCCAAACAGGCTGCCTCTGCCAATTCAATCCTGTGCGTAAACGAACATGAAAAAGAGGTTTTCCAGTCAGCTCTGTAGCAAACAATATGCCTTTTCCACCATGAAAATCCCCAGTGTTGATGTAGAGGGTTGATTCTTTATTTTTCATAGGGATATGTGTATCCTAAATAGCTACATACATACATATGTAGATTTGTGAAGAGATACTAACTCTGGGGAGACTGAGGGTAACACGTCCACTGTCCTCTCTAGACGAGATCTCCCTCCTACAATTACAACAAGTGGGACCTTCTGTGTAGAGAAGCTAGCAACTTTAAGCAGCTCATATGTAAATTAAACACACAATGTTAATTTTAAAATAAGAACAAGTTCATGTATCACTAACTCCACTACAATGTATAAAAACATCTTGCAAAAACATCAATTTTCTACAAAAGCCAAGCTGCTACGGATAGGTATGCAGCAGGGAGCACAGGAGAAGCCATTTTCAAACTGTCCCGTCTCATGCCTCCTGACCCCGCTCTGTGCCTTGGGCCTTGCGCGGGACTCCACGTAAGTCCCAGGTGAGCTGTCAGGGCAGGTTAGGTGCTAGAGGAACCTTCTAGCACCAACCTGCTCCAGGAACTGGCCTGCCATCCTGTCCCAGGGAATCCAGACATTCATTCCTCCTGGTATTTGGTCAAAACATTTAAACGCACAGGAACACTAGTCAGCCACAGAGTCATGTACCTGCAATCCTCCGAACCCTGGGCCTCAGGGTAGACGGCTGATCTCATTTTTTCAGAATACGAAGCAGTCACTCCATCCTCCTCTCTAAGATGGAGACCCAGGTGAGGAAGGGGCCTGGGGGCAATGCAGGCACCGCCAGGGTCCAGGTCCCACTGCACTTGCATGTTACGGGGAAATGTAGGCTACTGGGATGAGTGACACCTAGAACAAGCCTGGCACTGTGAGAATGACCAGTAGGGGTTACAGTGACACAGAAAGTAAACATGTCAAGGTATCATAATTAACAATTCACATTTGAGGCCAACAAGGCCTTTCTGCTAAAATGATATGTCATGGTTTTCGTTCATTATTATGCAAAGGGCCAAGAAAATGTGTCAAGACTCCACAAGGAATTAGCACAGGACTCGAGGAGTATCAGAGAGGACGACACAGGCTAGGGCAGGACTCGAGTGTGCTGCCCACAGGGTCGCCAGGAGTCGTCGTGGGCTCTATGACACCTCAGAACAGGGAAATGACACACCTGGGGCAGTGCCTTCTTTGTTCTATCTTAGAACTGGTCCTCAGTGCTGGGATGTGCTGGGATGTTCATGAGCTTTGGGGTGCAAAGCCAGCCTTCTGGTGCCAGGCTGACTGCTACAACCCTTCACAGAAACTCAGAGGACAGGCCTCGAGCCCCTACCCACCTCACTCCTGCTTCATGAAACAAGACACAGACTTGGCTCCCACACCAACTGCAGACAAAAGCTCCTCTCAGCTCAGCACAGTGACAGCTGACCGCGTCCTGGACACTGTCCCAGTGAATGACAAGTGGGGCGCGCTCGGACATCCACACAGCAGCATGCAGACGTTCCTATTTGTGACCAACAAGAACAAAGCCACACTGTGTGAAAGCCAGAGTCTAATACTGTAATAGTACCAGCTCAGCCCTCGGCAGGGAGATTCAACGCAAGATGACCTGCTCTGAGCAAGTGCTGTCCACTTCCCCGATGGCCTCAGCTTGCCAGCCCTGCGGAGGGCCAGTCCTCGGGCCCACGTGGATGGGCAGTTCTGGGCCCTCGGTGTCCAGTGTCTCTGATAGAGTGCACACTGCAGAGGAGGGGCCACGCCGTCCAGGTGAGACACGAGCTGGGGTCACACACAGGAGTGCGCCCCATTCCCAGGTGCAGGCTTTTCTCCCCACAGAAATGAAATGAAAACACGTAAAAGAAGCATGATGAGGACTGGTGGGTGAGCGCGCTCGGCCCTAGCCTCCACCTGTCATCAGAGGCTGCCAGCTTCCTGGGGACGTTTGTCCGGGGCCGTCGGGGTCAGGGGCGCTGTGGGCTGGGACATGAACCAGGAGGCCGTCTCCTCTCCACGGATCACCTTCTCCCACTGACTGAGGTTGTTTCTGAGGAGGGAAGATGCCAAGCAGGTGAGCTTCCAAGAACACTTCGGGGCAAAAGGTCAGAAACGCACTCTGGACTTGCTGGTGTTTCTAAGCTCGTTTAAGAGCCGCTCTCCCATTTACAAGCTGGTTCTACAGAAAGAGTCCCAGCACATCCCCCATGAGGACAAAAGTGGCCGGGCCTCTGGGTGACAAGCCCGTGGAATCCACGCTGGTCCCCGGAGGAGCCCCTGGGTAATCCACCCTGGTTCCATATGGCCCAGCCCCTGGGTCATAAGCCCATGGGACCCATCATGATCCCGGATGGCCCAGCCCCTGGGTCATAAGCCCATGGGACCCATCATGGTCCCGGATGGCCCAGCCCCTGGGTCATAAGCCCATGGGACCCATCATGGTCCCGGAGCCCACAATGCCTTCCTTTCATTTCAAGAGGTGGAAAGCTTAACAATTAAGGCTTTGCACTTGTTGTTGTTGTTATGTGCCCTCGAGTTGCCTGAGACTCATAGCGACCCTATGTAAATTCAATTTTTCCTAATGAAATACTTATTTTACTATTTTGATAAACTGACACAGATCACATCCACATTTACGAGGCCCCTCCCCCTCTACTAATGCCCTTCGCCCCAACTCCTCGTGGGCTGACACCCAGTCCCTGCAACGACACTGCTGAGGAAGAAGTCACCCTCGGTCACTCACTACCCTTTCAGCTCCCCTAGAGAAAGTTTTTCTTAAAATTAAAGCTGAAAAAAAAAATCCAACCTTCTAGCTTAGGTCAATCGTTAAAAAATAAAAAAAGGAACAGACAGGAGACAAGCAAGCCGAATTGAGACTAGAAAATGGGGGTTGAAGCCTCAGCTTCTTTTCAGAAGAAAGTCAAGGCCCCTTTGCACTGCACACCTGCCCCCTGTTGTAAGAGGTGAGGCACCCGCGTTCTCTCAGAAGGAGCCCCTCTCAGCAGACCCACCACCTTCTGATCAACAGTGCGGGACAGGGACCCGGCCCTTCCAGCCCCTCTGGGGGAAGCAGGGACCCTGCACACCTGGACTCTGGGAGGCGCAGGTCTTAGACTAAGGTGCTCCCTCAACAGCAGGTGCTGGAGGGGGGGGCATCTGGGGAGGGCACTGGCGGTCTGCCATTGTCTGTTCTGAAGGGCACAGAGGAGGGCGGCTCTACCCACCTGCAGGCGTTGAGGAGCGGCTCTGTGGGCGGGAGGATCTGGCACAGGGTCGTGTAGCAGGGGATGGCCACTGCATTGTAGAATCCAATCTGGCTCCACAAGGGACGCGGGGCGCGGTGGGGAGAAAGCAGAGCACAGGTCAGCAATCCCGGGGCGCCCGCCCTGCTCACCTGACTACTCTGAGGCCTCCAACCACAGGAAGCAGCAGTGACACAGAACGCCCTGCCCTAGACGAGCCTGGGACCTGGGGTCCACGAACGGCAGAGCATGTGCCCTGAACTATACCCTTATAATGGACCCCAACAACCTCAGCCCAGTAAAGAAAGTCCCGCCACTGAAACCAATACCTCAAGTCCAACATGAAATGTTAACACTGACTTTAAAAAGCTGAAGGGCGGCTCTCATCGTTGTCCTTCCTACTCGACGACTGGACCTCAAGGTTTTCCTGTTTGTGTGTCGGCTGGCAGCCTGCTCTACCATCTGCCAACGGCAGGCTTCTCTCTCCAAGATTTACAGCACTGGACCCAGAGGAAACCCTCTGCGAGTGGGCATCACGCCATGGCAGTGGAAGCTTTCACAAGCAGCTCGTTGTTCTCCACACGTCCCTCTCTCCCGAGTTCCCACGGCAAGGTTTGCTCCTGGTGGGCCGGCTGACACTTTCATTTTCCTCCCCAGACCGATTTAGGAACTATGATATAGCTAATAATGTGCTTTACTGTACTTCTCTCCATTTCTGGGTCTCGATGTTAAGGGGCTGAACAGAAGATTTCAAAGGGCATCTTGGGAAGGAAAAGCCAAGTATTATAATGAAAGATGCAAGAGCTGAAGTTGGAAAATCAAAAGGGCTGAGCTGGCTTGCTTGGCATTTCTTAGGCTGAAGGAACTCAAGAACAAATTCAAGCCCCAACTTGTGATACTTAAGGATGCTGTGGGCAGAACACCGAACGATCCAGGAAGCATTAAAAGAAGATATAAGGAAGATACTGAGCCACTGTCCCAAGAATTGGCTAACACAGAAGAATTCCACGAAACACATGAAAAAGAGGCAATGGTGATGAAGGGGGAAATCCAAGCTGCTCTGAAGGACTTGCCAAATAAAACCAAGGCTCCAGGAATTGATGGGACACCAACTGACATATTTCAACAAACAGATGCTGCCCTGGACGTGCTCACCAGGATGTGCCAACAAGAAATTTGGAGAATAACAACTTGGCTACTGACTGGAAGAGACTCATATTTATAGTCATTGCAAAAAAAGGGTGACCCGACAGAGCGTGGAAATTACACAGTGTCACTAATATCACATGCAAGCAGAAACCTGCTGAAGATTATCCAAAAACTGGAACAGCACACTGACAGAGCACTACCAGAAATGCAAGCTGGGTTTAGAAGAGGCCGTGGCATTAGAGATATTACTGCCAATGTCAAATGGATCTTGGTTGAAAGCAAAGAGTACCAGAGGAATGTCTATCTGTGCTTAATTGACTATGCAAAGGCAATTGTGCCGATCACAAGAAATTATGGCTGACCTTGAGAAGAATGGGAATCCCAGAACACATGACTGTGTTCATGCAAAACCTATACTTAGACCAGCAAGCAGTCCTCAGAACAGAGCAGGAAAACACCACATGGTTCAAAATCAGAAAGGGAGTGCATCAGGGATGCGTCCTGTCTCCACACCTTTATTATCTTTACGCAGAACAGACGGTCGGGAGGCAGGACTTTATGAGGAATGTGGCATCAGAATTGGAGGAAGACTCCTCAACAACCTGTGCTATGCCTATGATATGACTCGATAGCACATAACAACAACATATGAACTATACTTTAAAGATATTATTAAATGAGAATATTTTTTAAAAATATTCCAGCTTAGAAAATTCCAAGCTCTCTCTTGTGCCGGGGAAGCTGTGAGTGCACATGCACTCAGTGGTAACCAGGAACAAGCACTTGGCAGCTTCTTATTAAAATCAAAAGCACGGCGGTTAATACACGTGACCGCTAGCTGTAAGGTGGTGTGTGAGAACCCAGGCTTCTCTACTGGAGAAGGACGCGGTGGTCTTCTTCTGCAAAGAGTCACAGCCTTGGGGACCCCAGGCTGCCGGGCAGTTCAACTCCTACAGGGGTGCTGTTACTCATCCTGTTTTGATTTCTTGGTATAAAATGAAAAGGGAAAAATTCTTCCCAAAGATAGAGAACAGACTCAGCCAGTACGGCTTGGTCTCCCGGCAGAACAGAAGTACTAGATTCCTCCAAGTCTATCTCCCTTCAACGCAAAGAAGACACCTAAGTGTGCCTTTGCATGCAGATGACCACGTGACAGAGAGCGAATCAAGAATAAAGCACTATCTCAGGTCACATAGAAATTGCACATGTCTATGGCCCGTCCTTGGATGCAAGGCTGCGCAGGCTTTGATAGAGCTCTATGACCACCTTAAGATACCGCATTTGAAACACACTAATCCATACTTGGCCTTGTGGGACTTCATCTCTTTTGTCTCTGTCCATCATGGGGATGGGCTGTATTCCCAATTTCTTCATCTCATCACCCTAAAACAAAAGAAAAAGAAATCATAGGTGTCTCAATTCAGTCTTAACATTTGAACATCTCCTCCCTTGAACGAGACCCTTGAACTTCAGGCCTATCAAAATACTGGCTCATTATGAAACTTTAGTGTACTGAATAAGAAGTGAAATTCACTTTACAGATTTGTTATATTTTCCCGCATATTTTAGAACAGATATATAATCCTCAAAGTATTAAAGTTAATGTAATTCTTTTCAAAACAACACACAGGCTTCTGACCCATTTTCTATGTGACAGTAGAAGGCATTCCAGGGAGCCACACCTATTTACACACACGAGCCAAAGCAATCATGATACTAGAGTCAAGTCCTGCAGCTCCAAGGTGCACGTCCACAGGTGACCCCGCAAATGAGTCTGTGCTTCAGAGGGGAGGTACGCAGCACATGAAGGGGACAGAAGGCAGCAGGAGCTAACGAGACCGTGTGTAAAGGATCCAACAGAAACAGCTGCAGGCGAGGTCAAGGTCAACGTGCTCAGGTAATCCAAATCCCCGGCTTTGCGCCGATGGAACAACTTCACCTTACACACTAGTTCTACTGGACTTGCTGTCCAGTGATGCGTTGCTTTTTTTATGGTTATCCTTCTCTGATTGAGACGTGGTTGCATCAGCAACTATCAAACTACTTGCCCTCCAAATTTACTTTCATTTCTTCAAACCAAATCAGAAACCTGGACCATTTATAGATACACTGCTTTGTCTGTACATTTAGAAATGTGTTCTTGACTATATAGGGCTTCAGGCAAAGGCAGGTTCATTCAAACAGTACACTGAGAGGTTTATATTCCACTTACTTAAAGACAACTCAGAGTGCAAGCTGTAGAATAATAAAAAGTCCATTACAGGTAATTTTGATAATTAAGCTGAGGAAAAGTTTCAACCACGTAGTCTGTGCGTTGGCTTCACATGTCAGGAGCCTCCTGAGTATGTAATACTCCTTATCTTCTAGAAAACTCATCACCTACAGTTTGATCACTCTCCACATCTCCGTGTTTGATAAAATAGTAACTGCTATTCGGAATTCTTAACGGGAAGCATCGACAGCCCAGTGCATGCAGCATCCTGCCAAGTCCTTGGTCCAGGGCCTCTATTGAAGATCACAAGCAGGAAAGCTTGTGAAACAGCCAAAAACATCTGTTGTCATGTGAGGGAAACAGCTGTGAAACTGTCGAGAAAATAACTTCTCAGACTCTGTCAGATGGAATCAGAAAACTTACACACATATTCCAAGGTGCTTTTTTCTTACTTTTATCTGCATAAATGCTAAGTTCTGGTTCACATAAACCTTGTCTTTTTAAAAGAACTAGCAACATGAACAACTAATGTTTCTAAGTATTGCTAATAAGTGACACTGCTGATAAATTAGATCTTGTTATCATATGCATTTGTGTACAAATCAAGGACATACCTCTGCCCAGAACTCTGCATATATGTCATTTGCCGTCAGTTTTGTCACTGACCAGAGTTTCGTCACAGAACAAAGATCACAGGCAGTCATCATCAAGCCAATGACCCGGTCTCTAGAAGACAAGCACAGAGAAGCGTCAGCTCGCCAGCCGCACTTGGCCTGTGAACTCACAAGCCTTCCCTGTTTGCAGTGACAATGAAAGTCTCGGTCACTTTCTGAAAGGAGTTCTGAGGGCTGAGGAACACCAGCTGCTAACGGACAGGTCGGCAGTGGGAACCCACCAGCTGCCCCTGGGAGAAGGACACAGCAGCCTCCTTCCAGGATTCACAGCCACAGATATCGGGTAGAGAGTCACTGTTGAGTCAGCGACAGCTCAGAGGTGACGGCGTTATCCGATGAAGGGGGAGAAAGAGCATCACAGCTCAGAGGCCGCCAGGGGAACCCGGAGCTGGAAACTCGGAGTCACTCCTACTTCTACTCGTTCCGTTAATCCTGCCGGTGCTCGAGACCCACGTTCCTTAACACGGTCCGAGTCCGGGAAGGTGCTCCCCACACAGTCTGCTGAGTACACTGGGGTTTACAGGGAACATACTCATTTCCTGACTTCAAATTACTCAACAATCACTGTATTAATTGTTTTATCAGGTAAGCCCAGTTACACAGAAATTGAAAATAGAAAGTACATTATTACTCAGTGTATACATAATTAT